CATCGACGGCGAGCGGACCACGGAGAGGACCCGTCGAACCAGCTGCTGCCCAAGAAGATCGAGGTGTGGGCGCCGGGCCAGTGAGAGGGGAATCGTGAGTGAGCTGCAAGCCTGCCTCTCGGCTACCTTGGCGGGGAAGGCGGCGGGTTGATTGAGGGAAGTCGGAAGAAAGACTACGGCTGAAGCGTGAAGGGCGATGACTGTCTGTGCGGCTTGTGCGTCTTGGCCATCCTCTGACTCGTCGCTCTCCTCGGCCTCGTTCTGCGACGGCGCCGCCGCCTGCCGATCCCTTGCTTCGCGAAGGCTTCTCTCGCCTCGCGGCGTGTCAGTGCGCGGCGTGGGCTTTTTTTCTGGCCGGTAGCCGGGTACTGCGCTGCTTGCCGCCAAACTCGACGCCACCCTTGCCCACCTTGCCCACCAAAAGCCACCTCCACCATGTCCGACATCTGTGCGCGCTACGCTGAGGAGAACACGCGCGAGGCGCTCTCCGGGTCGGCGCGGATCCTCTCGACGCTGCTCGGCAACCTCGCTCGCGAAGACACGCCCAAGTTCCGCCGCGTCAACCTGCAAAACGCAAAGATCCAGCAGTCTGTGGCGGCGAGGCACGCCATGGCGGTGCTCGAGGCTGCGGGCTTCGAGTCCGTCGAGGGCGGCGCCGCGATGGAGAGCAAGCTGCCCGGAGATCAAGCCTCGGCGCGCGCCGCGCAGCTCGCCACCGCTCTTGACAAGGCGCTCTCCGCGTGCGCCAACGCGAGCTTTGCACTCCGCCTCTCGCTTCCGCACGGCGGTGCGGGGGTGCGCGCGTGCGCGTACGCGGACGAGGGCCGCACGCTGCTCACCGGCGCGACGGACAACCTCGTCCGCGTTTGGCCGAGCGCGCCGCCCCTCGGAGGCGACCCGGCGCCGTGCGCCGTCCTGGCGGCGCACGAGAGCGTGCGAGGGACAGCGGGCGTGCAGGCGCTGCTGCCACTGCCCGGCGGAGAGGTGGCCTCCGCCGGGCGGGACGGCAAGGTTTGCGTGTGGGATGCGAGCGACACCGCCGGCCGTGGTGCCGTGCAGCCGGCGCCGCTGGCCGTGCTGCGCGGGCACGGCGACGGGCGCGGCCAGGAGGCGTCCAACAAGACGCACATATCGTCGCGCTGCCGCACGCTAGGAGCCGCCGAGGAGCCTTCGAGGAGCCGTCTAGGTGTCCAACAAGACCAACATCGTCGCGCTGTCGCACGCTGGCCGGCTGGTGAGCGCCGGCTGGGACCGAACGGCGCGCGTGACTGGCCCATCTCTCCCCATCCCTCCCCATCTCTCCCCATCCCTCCCCATCCCTCCCCATCCCTCCCCATCTCTCCCCATCCCTCCCCATCTCTCCCCATCCCTCCCCATCCCTCCCCATCCCTCCCCATCTCTCCCCATCCACTCCCCATCTCTCCCCACAACTTCACATAACACCCCCATACACCCC